AGTGACTTGTTACCGTATATACTATTTTTTATGTTAGGTGATTGGAGATAGTTTGAAAGAAAATCTAGAAATAGGTATCATGCTAACTGGCAGTCATCAGAAAGATCTATCTACAATCCTATGGGGGAATTGTCGCCTCTTTTAGGATTCGAACAAGTATCACTCCTTTTTCACAGTCTGATATGTTACTATTTAGATTTTGACTTCAAAAATGTTTTGTAAATCCCTTTAATAAAAATTGAATTAATGACGTTTTATATTCTTAATAAATAAAATGTTTCATCGGGTAATGTAGAAATTTATTTACTTTCTACAAAGGAAAGTTTTTCTTCGAAGATTTAATTTTAACTTCAGTGGTTGAAATCATGAGTCAGTTGAAGCTAGACCGCCATCAAAAAGCTGGAAGCGCTGAATGGCCTAATCTTCTTCTTGTGTGACTTCTCAGAAGTACTCATTCATTTAATTTTAACTGAAGAAATTTGAAAAATAAATAAAAAGTCATTAAAAATTACTGTTCTGATATTGTCTGGAACTTTTTACCAATGTATACATAAGAGGTTTACACTTGAGATTAAGCCTATAGGACTCGGATACATTTTGCTAATTATCATAACCGTTGGAGACATGTATGTTTGTATGTGTATGTGTGAAACTATGTATACATACTGACATGATTTCATTTCGATTATCAATGACTGTGTATAACAATGTGTGATATGTTTCAATATATATGAATGAATGAATGAATGAATAAATCATAATAATTTGCATAACGTTTCTTTAAAGATATTACTTAGGATTTTGTAAATTTTAGTAATAAATCATTTTATCGATACACTTTGCTGAATAATAATCTATGCACTGTAATCATGGTCTTTGTTGTTGAATAGGTCTAAAAAAGAAACGATATTTTGCTTACCTTTACAATAATAATTAAACTGTACATTCAGATATTCACTGTGGTTTAAAATCCTTATTCATACTCCCTCCTCTACGCATTATTGGACAATTTTTCACACCTTCCATTTCTACACTCCTCAAACTTGTCCCCCAATAGCATTAATAGTTTAAAAGAAGGTATAATCGTTTATGATTGTTAGACACTGATCACCACTCAGCGATCAGTAAATGAAGAATAATTGACGTTTTTCACCTATTTCTAATTGATTTGCAATTTGATCACCATGAAAATTTAACAAATTACTTACTATATTCTTTTCAAAAAATACCATTAATCACGAAACTGTCTACGTGTTACACATTCAGTGTTGATAGCCGTGTTATTTTATCACTGTTGCTGATGACAATCACACGATCAGTAGTTTAGATTCATGTTTAGATGTGGCTAAAGACAGAGATAATTTGTTTCACAACATGCTATATCTTCATATATTTGGGCGAACATTAGTGTGCACAAAGACATATTGAGCACATATTTCGATTATAATTAAACCAATTTTTACATAGGTTTATGGTCATACCCTTAAAATTTAACGTTAGGGATCAAGGAAAATGTCACTGTTATTTTAATGTCATCTGATGACCCTTAACTAACCTGAAACCTAGGTCAAGTAGTGTTTTTATTGAGTATCTTTAACCACCAAACATAGGTTGTGCCTAAAATGATATTTTCTGAGCATCCTATCTGATCAAACAGTAAATTATATCAATGAAATTCGTCATCTGACTTTTACTAATAACAAAATGCCTATATCTCTAGGCTGATGAATCTTAAATAAGACGAAACGCGAGTCCTGAAATCTGCTACTAACCATATTCGATCTATTCTATATATGCCTAGTTTGAATTAAGTACACGAAATGTAATTTCATAATATCCTCGTCTCTCTTTTTCCTAACCATAAAATGTAATTTACCACCAATAAACTAGTATCGATTGATTCATTAACTGTAAAATCTATTTCACTGTCCAACTACCATCATTATGAGAGTCATATTTAAAACATCCTTTTTTTAAGCTCAAATTATATGTTCTTTTCAATATTTTGAATTGACATATTTCGAAGCGGGGGTAATTACATTCTATTGGTTTAAGTACAAGATTTATGTTAGTTATAATTACTAACATCATTATAAGATGTCCACAACAACAAGAAAACAAAACAAAATGTCATAATAGGACGAAACGGTCGTCCAGTGCTCCCAAGGTTTTTAATGGTGGTCTAATATCAATCGGTTCACGATGTTAATCCATCAATGAAATGATTAATTTCTTTCAAAAGGGGTTACATTTGAAAATTATTTTACAACTGACTCATTAACAAAGTATGCTGAGTATTTATTTTTATAATTAAATTATGTAAAATGTTAGTTTAATGTTTAACTTTCTAATCATAATGACGTTGAATGTATTAATATTGAAAGTAAGTAAGAACTATATAATGCCATTCATTCTAGACTAATCTAAATTAGTGATATATTGAGATTCGAGGAGTACTTGAGTACTACTTTCTTATTTTTGTTTAAAACTTCTCAGTAGCTATCGGTAATGAGAAAAATAAATAATTTTAAACAAAAGATTTGAACCATAGTTAGAATGATTGATCTACACTAGTCCTCATGATAACCATGATCAGTAGTCGGAGATTTGCGATAAATCAGTCACGGTGACCTAGATGCATTTACTCTTTATTTTTACTTAGATCTTGAGCTTAAGTCTTTCGTTATTTATACATTTCCATTCTGTTAATTTGAATTATATTCTCAATACATAGTCTTTCTTATTACCAGTACAATTAAATTCTATTCCATCTCCTTTGTTACTCACTTTTTTACTTTCATTTTGTTGTACTAATGATGTAAGGGAACTTCAGCTAACTGTTTTCTTGATTAAACTGTACCGAGTGAATGCTTGAGTAACTGGGGGGGGGGTATTTATTTATTTATTTGAACACATAAATATTGGTACAAAGAGGCACCAAATAGATATCCGCCGCACAAGTCACTTGATTTGTGTGTGGGCTGTGATACTGCCTGGGTTCCGAGATCGAAGCAGGTGGTTCTCTAAGGGAGCCATACCCGGAGCCTTTGACCTAAGGGCCTAATCCACAAGGCAGTAAAGCAGCGTTAGCAGATGCAGTCCCATGGTAGCCCGTGACCAACAATAAGTTCTTACTCCATTTGTTCCTTCAGGATCCTGGAACCCATGTGCACCATTGGTTTGGAATCAAGATTTTCCAACTCCCTTAGGTGGATCCTCCATATGCACCAACCCGTTTAAAGTACCAGACATTAGCTTTTCGTCTCAATTTCGTAAACATCACCCCCGCTACGAGAAGGCAGTGAGTAGGAATTCCCTGATAGTGGCTGTATACGTGTAGCCATATGAGAGCATTTCGACAGGGAGAACTAACTCTCCTCATCCTTGGCCGTACCAGGGCATTTGCGGGCTCTCTTGGCAGGTTTCCCAGGTTGTGTAGGTAAACTGGGCGGACAATTGTTAATTTTAATATTGTTGAGTTCTTTGAGATGGACAGTTTACTTGTAGAGTCTACATTTTCAATCTGGACAAGATCATTAACGCTTATTACATGAAGTTCCACAATTAAACTATCCAGCTCGGAAAGATTAATAGCATCGGTTACATTTGCCTAAACAGGAAATTTTCTCCATCATAATTGTTAATGTATCAAATTACGGGATTTATTTTTATTTATACACTGCTAACGGATTTAGTTGTATTAATGTATTCGTTCTAATTAACACTGCCTAGATGATCTGTTCCATACATACAACTGAAGAGTTTATAAAGTTAGCCGTGAAAATCTGTATTTGGTTTTGTTTGTCTTGTAGTCAGATTAATTAGCTTTTCACTCTATTTGTACGTTTCTTCACCAAATTTGACTCCAACTTTGGATTTGTATTAACTGACGAATAATGGTGATTCTGAAATATTATATTTCATTGTACAGATTTAGTTTTTAACCTTCGGCTCATATTTCGGGTATGATGGCTGGTGGAACTATTGAATGGTTCAAATCAAAATAGGTGGAGTAAACTATGAACTGCGACTTAATAACTAAAATCTGAACGCTTTAATTATTGAATCATTGCTCTCAGCTAGATTTGATCAATTCAAGTATGATCAATGATAGTCAAGCATATGTAATTAAGATTGTAGTCAGGCGGCCGAGTTGTGCAGAAAATTCCAGTCTCAAGAGACATTGGTTATTTGAAATATGATACAATCATTCTGAACAATAAATATAACATTAAGCGTGTACAAGTTTTGAATTATGAGGTGATCAGGGATCAAGTACACTGTCAGAAGCACGATTAAAGAGTAATCTCAGCCTTAAAGTAAGTGGATACTAAAATAAAGTTATATCAATTACCACCTGTAACTAGAAAACAGAGTACGACTATATCAAGAGAGATTATCAAAGAATAACCCTTTATTTATACGAATATTCGTCAAGATTAGAACGAATGGTTTGACAGTAATTGAGCGCCGAGTATAGAGAAGTCATTATATGTGAAAATTATCAAAGTCTTTGATAATTTTGATTTTGATTATTACCCTGAAGAAGTCCAGACAAGTTAGCTGGACGAAACATTGGAATGAGTTATATTTCAATCGCTGAGAATATTTCAAATATAATTTTCACATATAATAACGCTTTATGTTTCGAGGAATATCGTTTAAGACAGAAAAACCTAGTTCAACTAAATTTTAACAATGAAATGAAGGAAGAAAACTAACAGGAAGCACTGATACAAATATTTTAATGAACTAGACAACTGAAATAAAAGTACCTTCATCTATAACAGGCAACTCTTTGCAATCATGTCATACTTGGTGGAACATCAAATGTTTGCAAATAACTCAAACTACTGAGTACGTTTAAGTAGTATATTTTAAATACAAAGTCAAAGTGTGTGTAAAACGTAAGACAAACTTCACATATGTATGACTATTTCATTATCGAATATATGATCGTCATGTTTTATTTTTTATTCTCTCCTACTTATTCTTTCCAGTTCAACTCTTAAAAATTGTCCAACACGGTATTATTCAGAGAGAATCAATCGGACAACAACGAATAGTCGTTCTAATGATCAAATTACATCTATAGAAATCAATCCATCCAGTGCACCGTTCATTGATCGACAAGAGGTAATTATTATGTCTGATAACAAGAATCATAAAAATCCAGTCAGTGAATTACCATCATCAACAACAACGACTACAACAGGGAATGTACAACACCATCGTCATCATCAACAACAACAAATATATCAAGTTACAAGTCAGCCGCCTCCACCGATTCAGCAGCACCCACAGCAATTTACGTCAGGTTATGTAAAAAACAAGTCTAATTCACTTAATATTAATGTTAAACAGGTAAAAAACGTCAAAACATTTCTCAAGTTGGGAATATCTGTCATGTGTTAAAGTGGATGATGATATTTATGATATTGTTTCTTACTTAGTTGTATCTTAACTTTTCTCTTTCACTTTTCAATAAAGTTGGTTATTTATTAGAAGTGAAATTCAGAATGCGTATTCCATCCTATATGTGATTCATCAGTTGGATGTATCTGGATCTCAGTGTTGATGTTTTTATTCAAAATAGAACCTGGTATCTTTATGTCCAACGTCCAACATTTTATCCATAAAAACGAGAGTACATTCATCTAACGAGTCCCAAGTAAAATCAAACGTATATCCTGGATTTCATTGTTATCCACGGATCAACTATACTAAATCTCGTGACTGTATGATTATATCAGTACAATCCACCCAGGATTTCAGAACATAATTATCATTTGAAATCCCTAACGTTAATCAGTAAGATAAAAAAAGAAACGCTTCGTAAACCACTCTTCCAGTTCTTTTTTATCTACTCATCGAACGAAATAAACTGTTACCCTGTTAAACGATTAATCAAACTGAGGTTATCCAGATTTAAAAATAATGTTGTTATATCTAGAACTTAGATTCTTTGTTACACGGCGTACAACTTGAGCACTCAAACTCTAGAACCCTCCAAGTAGCAAATGCGAAGACAGAAGACGAGTGAAAAGGAATGCTATTCCAAACAGTGTCAAATATAGTACAAAATTCTCAGGTATTTCTAGTTCTTAGTAAAAACAAAATCAGCATTATAGTCATCCAATCCGCATACAGTGGTTTTTAGCATTTGTCCAATAGGGAAGCTACATGTAGGGATTCTGGAATATTCTTGCAAAGATGATTGGATGGAACATTTTCGGCTCTTTCTGAGCTTCTTTGAACTTCCTTGAGTTCACCCGTGGGACGTCCTCATGAATGTAGTACTGAATATTTTCACACCCTCATTTAGGTTATCCATAAAAACCTTGGAAGATCTTCAGAAGTTAAACACCATAAAACTGTCAAGTTGTTTTGTGTTTTCTTTTAATTCACTTTATCACTAGTTATTCACACAGTTAATTGTTGATTGGAAAGTTCAAAAAACCTTTAACTTATCAACATAGAACGCAGTTGATAATCCTCTTGGTCTCCCAACATAATACTTATATCAGAAGGGTTTTTGTGGATACTATAGTAATTTCAACGGTTGAGATCATGAGTCAATTGAAGCTAGACCACCATGGAAAAACATGAAGCATTGGACGCCCATTTCGTCGTATTATGGAACTCCTCAGCAGTGCGCATCCATGATCTCGCCTCGCGAGATTCGAAACCAGTACCTATCAGTCTTGCGCGCTAGCACAAGACATCAAGTGGATACACTTAAATCCTTTAAGGTGATTAATAAACAGTCAAACTTCAGTCTTCTGAAATTCACTGAAGCCATAGCGATCAAATGGCTTTAAATGGGACAGTTATATCTTCAGATAGTATAGCATTACTTGAGTTTAACTGTTTGTCGATAGTATTTACAAAAGTAACAGTAGTTATCTGGTCTGAAGTTAGTGTTGGAATTTCGAATATATATGGCTTAGGTTATCTATAACGTGAATAGTGTTGAATAAGTTTACTATATCAAGCATCTTCGTTCATTTATTGCATAAGTGATGGATATTAAAGTTCCATTGAAGATATCATTTCAAGTTCTAACGCACACTATATTTGTATTTTTGATGTTGAGCTGTGTGCGCTACATTGAAATGTTCATAACAGACAGCTGAAGATAGCTTTACACACTTCGAATGAAATCTTTGGTAATAACTAAACTACAGTATATCAGTTTGTGATCCAAACTATGAAAATTCTATAATGTCCACAAAGTTTCTCTATACTAATATTAATCATCTGGACATTAGAGACTAGCTTCAAGATACAGTTCCTGAAGTTATAATGGCAAGGTTTAACCAGTGGAGTTCAACCATATTGGGTGTAAGACAGTTATCCAATGCAGTCGATGGATTAGAATTGTGTAATATATATATATATATATATATATATATATATATATATATATATATATATATATATATATATATATATATATATATATATATATATATGTATATATATATATATATATATGTATATATATATATATATATGCAATCGGGTCTAGGGATTGGACGTTCATATACAAGATTAAAGGTCCCGAGTTCGATTCCTGAACTCGGGGTAGTGGATGCACACCGTCATTCAGTGCTTTGCAATTCTCAATGATAGTCTAGCTAAGATCAGTTCATGATTTAAACTATGAAAATTCAACAATCTTCACAATTCCCCTTATACAAACTCCAGTATATATCATTCACCTACTAAATGTATGTGAAAACGGGAGAAATTACTAGATATACCATACTTATTAAACATTTAAAACGTTCTGTATAACCTCAGTCATTTTCAATAATAAATTGTTCAACTCTTTTTATGGTCTATTATCATTACTGTTATTATTCTATTGCCTTTTTATGTACACAGAATACTTCAGATAAACTGAAATTGGTCGATTCAAGACGTACAACACCGAGACAGTTGAAACAATATCAATTAAAACGTAATCAACCAATTACTCATTCATCATTGACTACTAGTACTGAGTCACCACCCTCAACAACAGCAACAATGATTTCACCAGAATTATATCAACCAAAATATACAATTGCATTAAATCATTCCCATTTAGAAAAAGCAAAAACTATCAATTCACCTGAAAATTTTCATAATCCCATGGAAAAATCAACATTTCCTCAACAAATGACCTCTAGTGATTTAGCTGCATCATTTATTCGTACGGCAAGTTTACATTTAAAATCGACACTATCACGATTGAAACGTTCGAATAGTGGACATTCAAATAAGCCATCAGATGCAATAACTACGACTACTATTCATACTGACGTTTTGCCTTCGGTTAAAACAATTGATGTTAATGAGGCAGCAATGCGTTATAGTTCTCTTCCTTTTGATAATAATGATAAATCTATAAAACTAATTGATGAAATCAATGGAAATACGAAGCAGGTGTATAAAGAATTAAATACTACTACTACTACTGAGAAAAATAATAGTAATTTATTTTCATCATCACCTGGATGTACAAAATGGTCTACACGTTTAGGTCCTCCACCATCCCCATGTAAAACGACAGATATTAATACTGCTGTCATATATCCTAAATGTTGTATATCGACAACATTCCATGGAACTAACACATCTGAGACAGTAGTCACAACGACAGTAAATTCTACACAACTACCATTAAATATTTTAAATCATAGTAAGAAAAATGTTTTAATTTTGAAAAATACAACAACGATGACTACTACTACTACTACTAACTCTGTCAATATAAGTAGTGTATCCCAAGTATTGCCTGAAAATGAACGGAATGAATTGAATTTATCATTAACTGGTGGTGATGATTGTGCTGATTTTGGAGCATTTGGTCGAATTAATTTACGTACTGGAAGTTTTATGGGTCGTTATCCCAATTATTCACATTCGAATTATCACTTAATGAATTATGCCCAAAATGGGCAGCATAGGCAATATTTATTAAGTGGTAACGATAATAGTAGTAGTATACAAGAACAACAACAGCAATATCAAAACGATCAACAAAACCTTTCAGATTACAGACCACTTTATTTATCTGTCCAACCGCATACAACATCACCATCTGGGAATACAACCCGATCAGCACCATCACCGAGTCTTTCATCAATCATATCAACACAAGGTATTCCAGGTTATAATGAATCTTGTCAACAACAGCAAATTGTATATTTTCGTCCTCAGAGTAAATCGATCAATTTGAAAGCGTCATCATCCTCTTCCGTGACAATGAAACGTTCACCAAGAGTGAATTCTATGCATAATCCACAATTGTTGCATACAATAGATAATCCAGATGATCAATACTCAATACCTATAACACATCCTCATGAAATGTTATTATTATCTTCTTCATCATCTCCGTCTTGTGTAAGTCCGCATCCAGAATTGGATCCAATTTTAGAACGCCTGTTACTGGATGTAACAAGTATTGATGAATATAGAACAGCATTACATAGAAATGGTGAGTGAGAGATTGAGAGGTACTGATGGTGATTAATATTTATGGCAAGACTATAATTTATGGGCAAGCCAATCATACATAAGATGACGGGTCTTGGATTTTGGTGCGAATTTCGTTTGTCCATTTGGCTAAATAGCGTTTCGGCATTTAAGCTTATGTCGTGATGAAAACCTTAAATGTGATTCCTAGTTCCAACCATCAACTGTAAATAAGAATTTCAATTCTTCACACTGGCTTATAACCCCTCATTTAGTCCTAGTTAGTAAATGATCATTCTCAATGTCACTTTAGAGTTGCTCAAAAGTGGTCCATATTTATTGGTGGTTGATTCAGTGTTTATTTGTACTTGTGTGTGTGTGTGTGTAGAGGAATGGCTTTTCATATCTTCTATTATACTAAGTTAATGCGTGTTTCATAAATATTTGTACTATGTAACAAAAACCCTTCATTAATATAATAGGTTTTTGGAAACTTGATTTTTATTATTTTGCACAACTGATAAACTTAGCGATCTTTTGTCTAATTTAAAGAGCTAATTACCAGATCTTTAGCGTGAAGCTATGACTGGTGGAGAGTTCAACTACATCGGAAGTTAAGCAGTTAATCACCATTGTTACAGGAAAATGATTATGCCGTATTGAAAATTGACTGAAGTTTAAAATGTTAACCATTAGATGCCGATTCAGTGGTCTGAACCTTAAGCACTTACTGATGAGAACTGAAAATTCAGGGTTCGATCTTTGATGGTGTGGATGTCCATCATCATTTAGCAGTCCCATAACAAAATGAAACAACTATCTAATGTTTCCTGGTCGTCAATGGCTGTCTAACTAAAATCAGTACATGATGCAAACTTTATTAGTTCATAATCTCCGAAAAAGCCCTCATATTTATATATCCATCTTTTATACATTATCTGTTTTCAATTACTCTCACAGATTCAGTTACTCCACCATTATCGACCAGTCGACAGCGTACTATCAATCGTATACATACTCCGTTAGGATCAAGTGATCCTGAATCAATTTCACGATCAGCTGATCATATAACCAATGTGAATTTATCAAATAAACAATTAAATATTTTACATGATAATATATGGGATTTAAATAAACAAATTAATGATTTAATACAAATGGAATTTAATTATAAACAGAAACAACCAACCATTAATAATAAATCACAATTATCACCATTTGATAATTTGAAAATAGGTAGTTCAACAGTTGGACCTAGACGTTCAGCTCCAAAGTAAGCTGATCTGTATGGATTTTAACCTTTTTTATATGTTCACATCAATTACAAGCGTTTGATGATAGAACTCGCTTGGGATTACCTTGTTTTATCATAAGACTAATGATCTATTGTTTAACTAATGATATTAATGACATAAACAATAATTGGAATGTCTTGATGCCTATTGGTTCGTTCGATTCCCTCTATCGTTAGTGGCCAATTATAATACGAAAATACCAGGCAGATTTAACTTCTAATATTGTGTTATCTTTTCAACTTGTAAAGCTCACATGATTATATGCATCAATTATATGACTACAACACATCACAAACAAACCTGTGTCAGAAGTATCAGATTCACTAAAATAACGCTTGAATTCACCTGAGGTTTGCTTCAATCAGACGACTGTCTTGGTTACTCGATAATAGTTATATATAAGTAGATATAAATAATATATGTGGTTCTACAATAAGTGATAGTCAGTTAAATTTCAGCTTACATTCAAGTTGATGAAACAATAACAACAGTCATTCCTAAAGCAGTTAAACATAAAAAATGACAAGTTCAAAATGACTTTCCAAGCAAACTACTTTTCAACCAATAAGTACGTATAATAGTTGAATTCATTAGTCGATTTAAGCTAGACCACCATAGCCAGCTTGTTAATTTAACCAATGGATGAACACTGACTACATCAGTAATACAGTCATAAAACAAGAATTTCTCAATACTAACTGATAACTGGTTTCTTGATGCAGTGGTTGAATTAGTATATGGTAGCAACTGTTTGACAGTACTTGTTTCTTGAAACCCTATCATGTTTAAAATACGTCGGTATAGAAGAAGGTAAGAATCGCCAGAGGTAACTGGATTAAAGAGGTATTACTTTCATTTGTACACTGAGCATTTATCTTGTATACTTCGTGTTAATAAAAAACTAGAACACATTTGCGATGGAGACTGTTAACGATTCGTAAACATAGGAGTTGAAATACGAGTCATTATGGAATATTATATTTCATATACTCATGATTATAGTAGACTAATTATGGAGGTTGAAAGAAGAGTAAATGAATGAGTGATTGGATGAATTGTAAAATGGATTCACACATAAGTGGTCGAAAGAACTAACATACTACTGACTTTCTATAGGAAAGAGATATTTACATCGACTGATCACTGTATAGAGTTAGTGCTGAGTGAGTTTTATCAATCAAGCTGTAGTACACCCGTTAATCTAAGCTTCTCGACATCGTATGCATTATGTTTCGGTATTAGGTAGGAGATGTGAATTGTTCTTCAATCCTGTCCCTAATTGCTTGATTTCTTTATTTATTATTAGCTTTATTCAATATTAGATTTTTGGCACAATATAGAATCCTCAGCACAAATTATTTCAGCGAGTTTCCGTTTCTTATTTCTTGATCGATATTGACGATAAATGTTGAATGATCTCCAGTTAGATGTTAGGATTTCAAAAGTCGAGATTTAAAAAATATTCATTCTTTACAGTGCGTACTGCCAGCCATCACAATGTCTCTGATTATATGTTTTTGCAACTTGTACAGCGAAAGGTCGTGAACTTTTCACAAACTCACCTGAATAGATTATGCAATTAATTGACTTAATGATCTGTTAAAACAAACAAGGAAACAGATAACTTGTTTAAATATCTAGATGGTAGGAACAGGTAGCCCAGATATTCAAGTAGGCTGTCGTCATCTGAGTTCAATCTACTGAGATCAAACACGATGGTTCGAAGTGCTACCCAAACAGTTTACCGATAAGGATCCAGACACAGAACCTTGAGCATAAAAACCTGAATACCCCTAGGGAACACCCACTCTCAAAAGATTGCAGCAACGTCTTGTTTGTGTGTGTTGAACGGCACAAAATTCAGATTCAGAGTTTTTTTACCGACTACTTCCAACTACATAGCATCTTTAGTGGTAAAATTTAATCACCACTAAAAGACTAGACATACATGACATTGGGAACAAATCAATGGTTGACGAATGTATTCCAATTTCTGCTTTTACGACAAATGTTCGGCATCCAATTTCAAATTGTAAATCCGATAAATGTTAATTGTTAAGCATGAAATAAAGTTATTTATTACCTTAAAGGAATAAATTGTATAGCATTTATATCTGGCCTGGAAGAATTCATATTATTTGGTATTTGTCAGCTCGAAAACCTTTTTTCTGGAAATTAGTTACGCGATTACATAAGCTTGGTCATTGATGACAGCATTTTCAAGCACAGTTGAACAACAGATAGTAGTGGAATCCAGGTTGCGTTTTGTCCCACATGGTAAACCTCCGGAATTCTACTTCTAACTTCTGTTCAACTATGTTTGAAAGTACTTGGGGATTAATGACGACATAGAGGCAACCCAGAACAGGATAGAATTATGCCAAAAAAAGGTTGATCAATCACAATCTTTAACAACAGGAAGATTCAAATGAGTAAAGATGAACTATTGGCGTCAGTAGTTTTGAGATTAATATTTTAATACTACTAATAAGTAGTTTAAAAAGTCTCATTTAAAAGTTTATCATATTTTTTTCTCAACAGTGTTCAAGTTGAAGAAGACGGTAAAACTGAAGCTGACAGTCAATCAACTAAACAACAACAGCAAACAGACGAAGCATCCCCTACCACTGGCACAAAACCTGGAAAATATATATCATTTAGAAAACATCCATTTCGTTGGTCAAGTCGGACAAGATCATCATCACATAAAAAAATGATTCTAACACATACACAATCATCTGTTGGACGAAGTGATCAGCATATTAATAAGGATGATCATACAGTTCATTTATCTACGAGTTCTTTACAAGCTACACCAACCAAATCAATAAATAATACAGGAAGTAATAAATCTACTAAAAATTATCCAATTAATAACTGTGATAATAATAATAATAATACGTCGATTAGTTATAATCAGCTGAATAGTGAACAACATCCAACAGTAATATCTAGTCGAATGAATACATTGAATTCAAGTAGTAATTTATTAGATACGAAAAAAGATGATTATGTAACATTTTGGTCGTTATCAGTTGGACAGTTAACAATATTAAGAAAATTTGCTCTTATACAATTAGCTAGTATAGCTGATAAACATTGTTCCATAAATCGATCCCCATTTAGTTGGTAAGTTGAGATGATATAACTTTGTTTAAAATAGTCATTTTTTTTAGTTCATTGTTAGTTGCATAATGTTTAGGTTAGATGAAATTTTGATGATTATAAATCTGCATCTACTGAGACGGTTGAGATATGGTTGACGTATGCCTAAACACTGAATATTTCAATGGGTTCTGTTAAATATTGTGGAAGTTGAAAGAAGGTTTGTAGTAACGAAAGTAAAATGTGGTATCAGCATCTAAATTCACTAACTGTTGATCTGAGCCATTTAGGTAGATTGAACCTACTTGGTCGGAGTCGGTATGATAACTAATATCAGTCGTTGGAAATGATTTATGACATAACTCATAGATGTTTACATTGGTACCGATGTATTCATTGTTTATCTTCCTCTAGATCTCCAACTCCAATATTCCCTTTTGGATATCTTTTCTCTTTGTCTTTTCGTAACAATGTTTAGTTTTTTTCCCATTATCATCGTTATTACATTATTCCAACAACTTTTGCTACTCATCTTGTTAATTTCACGTCTATGGGGTATGGAAACTTGGGCTAATGAGTATTTGTACCAGACCCGATGTTCATTATGATTGTATGACTGACTGACTTATTATACATGTATACTAATTACTGTAAATGGTTTGTATATTTACTGTTGTTGACATTCAAGAATGATAGTAATAGATCTTTGTTGATGTATATGATCCTGGAATTCCGTTTACAAGTGATATTCTAGGATTACAGAATCTAAATGTTTTGAAATGGGATATTAGTGAATCAGTACCGATCCCCAATCTTCCTATCCACGAGCCCCATCTGCTACTACAGTGAGAATAGTGAAAGTGAGAAAGGCATTTAGTGGCCAGTCACGTTCACTTATTATTAGACGGATTTCTGGTTAAGCTAATGTAGCACTAAGACTCGGATGTAGTTCTATTATTTTTTATCGACATACACTTTTACATTAATTTTCCTATCGAAATTCGAACCTGATACTTACCGATTTGGGATGCAGCGGTTATCTATTACGGTACTGAGTAATGTTAGATGCCAGTAATATGTCAGATACTAAAGTGCTTGACAGTGAAATTCTAGCTGCTTTCTAATCATTTTCTTAGAAATCTCTCACAATCAAGCCCGAGATAGAAGACAAAATACGAGAAGTTTGAAAATAAGCTTTACTTCCAAGGCTACTTTCGTCGCATAAAATAAGGATATTTATAGATAAATATGTGGTCTTTATATTGCAAATAGTTTTTGGAAACATGTTACATTTAATAAACAAATTAGTAACTTTTTAATGGTGGGGATCATGAGTCAATTGAAGTTAGACCATCATGGAAAACCTGGAAGCATTGGCTTCAAGAGGTATTTCCTAGAGTTCTAATGAGAAGCCGTGTCTAGTGGAGTTCAGCCACGTCTGTTGTACGATAGTAACTCACTGATGATAATGGTAGATGTGTCGCTCAATTTCGTGCATTAGTTGAAGTCAGACATTAACGCCAATGGATGACGACAGGCTCAGTGGTCTAGATGTTGAGCGTTAGCGCGAGAGACCGATAGGTCCTGGGTTCGGGTTTCGCTGGGAGGGATCGTGGATGCAAACTGCTGAAGAGTTCCGCAATAGGACGAGATCGCCGTCCAGTGCTTCCGGGTTTTCCATGGTGGCCTAGCTTCAATTGACTCATGATCTCAACCACTGAAATTACTATAATATCCACAATATCCACATAATCCATCGTTTTCATAGAACTCTCTCTATTGAAAGCTGATTAGACAGAGTACTTCTACCTCTTGTCTATAAATGAAATTCAATACTGTTAACTTGATCATCAGAGTAAGGTAATGGAAACCAGCATTAAATGCTTATGTTTATTTGTTAATGTATCAATGGAAATTCCAACAATTGAAATCAATATGTTTCGATGTTTCACATGGTAGTCTATTTCACAGAGATCTGCATAAAGAGAACTAAAGAAAATTCATATCAATTGTTTAACCTCTTATTTCACATTTTTAGGCGTTTTATGAAATATAGAGCACTTCTAACTTCTGGTGATTCAAATTTGCTATCCAACTCATTAAGTACATCTCCATTATCCGATAAGAAACCATTTTCTAGTATAAATAATGAAATGTTTGTGAATAATCTAAATTCAAATGAACCAAATAGTCTTTCTCATCAACATCAGACACAACCACCAGGTTGTGAACGTATACCTCAATTACCTATTCGTTGTATATCCTATACTGGACCAGTGTTTGGCCAATCATTATCAAGTTGGCAACGTCGTTTAGGTTATCCTCTTCCACCAGCTATTTTGCATATGATGGATCATTTAGAATTAAATGGTACTACAGCTCATGGACTGTTTCGACGTCCAGGCGGTAAATCCAGAATATTAGCATTGAGAGAAGAGATTGAACGTGACATAAGTAAGTCTGTTCTCTTTTGAATATTCATCTTAACTACTTATGCCTTTTAAGTAGTTACTTCCATATTGTTAATGTGATTGATCAGTCACTTGATAAATGTTGAAAACTGAAATTCTATCAGGCTTATTACTGTGGTTTATGAGATTTGGACAGAAGTGGGGTTTCGCATAATTCAATGGTTGGCTTGCTAAAATATGATTGGTCTGGAAACTAGTGTTTTGTCTATCAACGTCAGTATGTGTTCGACTTTACATTCAGTCGCATAAATCCGATGTTTGACAGTTTTAAGCAATCAATGGAAACCCTGGACCTAGGTTGTTTTGTTTATTTTCCCCAGTCAGCATATTTAAATATTCAGTATTCCTCACGTTTTTCATATCTGAATCATTTAGTCCCACAGTGCAGGACGTTACTATTGTATTATTCAGGTAGCGACTAGTCTTCTGAGGACTGAAATATTTACGCTGAGTAATCACCAATGCCGTATTATCTAATAATTGGTGTTGATCGAATACTATAGGAACAACTAAATCCCTAATATCTCTAGGAAGAAATTTTGTAGATATTGGTATGATTTATAGATTGTATTCAGTTGACCCCAGTCGATGTACCGTTGAAATTATGGGAGGACTGGACTACTAAGTCATCCAACAATGAGATCCCTAGCAACAATATAAACCTAGAACTCATCAAGATCGTTCTTTAATAATAGGTATTAGGTTAAAGCCACAGTGTGATTATCAATTTCATTGAAACTCATGCTTCTTTATTGGGTAAATTTATTCCCTATTTTTTCCTATACAATTTTAAGACTGGAGTAAATTCAGTGATTGGCAACCATATGATATAGCAGACTTATTGAAACAATTCTTTCGTGAATTACCAGAATGTTTATTTACCAGTAAATTAGCTACAGTGCTTGTCAATGTTTATATATGTAAGTTAATTATATTTTTTTACTTTTAAAACAATGATATGAATATAATTGTTCAGTATAGGGTTATGGAGATTGCCGAGTTTTAATTTAGATCATGAACCGATCAATGTCAGACCACCATTGAAAACCTGGAAGTACTGGACGGCCGTTTCGTCGTAGTATGGGACTCCACAGCAGTGCGCGTTCACGATCCCACACTTGGGATTCGAACACAGAACCTGGTTCATGATCCCAATGAAATGTAATTTCCAACCGAAAGGATTTTGAAAGTGATTAGTTTCATTATTGCCATAGATTGATATCAGTTATGCAAAATGTTATTGAAAACTAGCAGTGATTCAACAGTTGTTTCTCCATAGAAGAAGTGGATGACATAGTTCTGATTGGTTAAGAAGGTACTACAATATAGAGTCTTCTGACAGCCTCGTTAATAACGTAAACATCTTGACGATGAAATCTGCACTATCCAAGTGCGAAATTTCGCTTCACGACTGAGGTATATCAATATCTAAACTGATGATGGAGAGTGAAGTATATGAATGTATCGACCACTTCACTGGTTTCGGAAGTCCAACCAGTATTGGCGGGTTGATTTCTGACCAAATTTCAGTATGGATTTAGAAAACTCAGCTGGCATTCGTTGATCTGTGGCTTGAGCGAGATGAACCTCTGTGAACCAAAGGACGACCACACTGTCCAACACTTCGTTGTTTCCAACCTGTGGCTGTGAAACATGACTTTTGAAAATAGAGGACCTCGAGGGTTAGTAGTATACAATGATGTATGTCTTTGAGACAACACTTAAATGTGCCGACACCACTAATTCAGCAGTGTTGAGATCAGACTCAGAGTACTAGGCAAAGATGACAAATCATTTGATAATATAGGAAATCTTCACCTATGATTGATGAGATACTCATTACACATGTCTTAACACCACCTATCTCAACTTGCAATGTTAGCTGGAGTAAGAATATGTTTAGAGAAATCTAAGGTTGGCCAAACCAAAACGTGACATAAGTACACGAAATCACTGACGGTTGATCTGAGATATTTTGGTAAGTTCAGACAATGTGGTTGAAGTTTTCACTGTTTTGTCTGGTCGTCGCTAATTGTTATTTCTGAGTTGTTTATTACTTACACATGGAACCACTGAGATTCCCACGACGCAACGTAAAAACACCAAGACTGGTACAAGTGAGAATTTATTAACTTCAAAACACAACGACAACCCTAGTCGAATATACATTCATTTGTATATTGGTTGTACACCCATTCTGAATATTAATAAGGATGAAATCACATATATATGAAAGATGCCCATAGTTATAACAAATCACATCCTGCATGTTATGCTGAGCACAGTTCAGGTTAATTTAATACAAGAGTATCGTATCTTGGATAAACATCACACTCAAATATATCAGTGTTATACCGAATAAAGTATCATACTGGGAAACATAACAAATATTATATGGAGTTACAAACAGAAGTAATGTTGAACATAAATCACAATGACTTAAAATTGTGATTTTGTTTCTTCATCCAGTTACGGCAGTCACCATAATCGTAACCAGAAGTCAAAGATGTTGAGAGACACGACTCAGAATCTGCCACAATGGCAATGGTGGATTTACTTACTTGTTTAACTTAGGTCTTGAGTTTCAAAATTATATTTACTCCACGAGTTCATTCATTTGTATTTCAGCCCAAACTCCTTGACTGTGTACAAACATATACTCATTAGCAACTGAATTGATTATCTTTAAGTCTTGAGGCAAGTAATACTTCTTTAAACCATTAATTTGATAACTAACGGTCAACATTTATAACTTTGATCAGTCGGCAATATAATCTGATCATAACTCAATGGTGGCGATGATAGTTGTCTTATTTTCGACATGGTTGTACTCCGTTGATGATGGATTCTAATTAGAACTTGAAGAACTGCAAACTGCTGAACAACGAACATAAGGTTATTGTTAACGTATTTTTGTACATCATTAATTTAATAGTTAGAAATGTATACCACTAGTTGTCTAATTATATAATGCTTACTGTGTTATCCTAAGATTTTAGGCTCGATCCCCTATAGCGTCACGAGTTCCCATTATCAAGGAGTCATCCTAAATTATATTTATTCCCAGTGGCCTTGTATTTCAAGTCAGTTCATTACAAAAGAATATCTTAAAAATTATATCCCATTGTTGACATTGAGGATGGAATATTGATCAGTCTCTTTTAGTATATATGTATCCTATCCAAATTCCTTCAACATACCCGTTACACAAATTAATAATGATCTAGACTCGGCAGCTTAGTAGATCATGCTTTTTTGGGCATTTAAAGTGAAAGGTATTAGGTCAGAGTTCAAATGTGAATACCAACACTTTAGGGTTCAGATACATCCAGATGGCAAATCCTTACAATGAAATACTCATCCTTGATTCCCTTGATAGCTATAATCTATTTTGCTTTATTTCTTGGGAACTGTATAATCACTTTCCCTATTTTTTTCTCCTGATTTTCAAAGTAAATTTATATTCTGTGTTCTGTCTTTATATTGTTACTATTTGTATTTCTCTCATTCTTGTATATATGTATCTAACGCACATTATCATTATAATGTACATATATTTATTCCTCATTAATATTTGTAAATTAGGTGTTCCAAATTCAGTACAAATTGATTTACTCCGTTGGATATTAATTAGTTTACCAGATGAAAATCGTCTTGTTCTACAAAAATTATTGTATTTACTCAATCATTTATCACGTCATAGTGATGTAACTGAAGTGAGTGACAGTTGTTCAAATATATTTACTTCTTTTTGATTGCTAATATATTCTTATCTGTCCGATTTTTTTTTCTTTACAGTTTTACACTATGAATTGACTTTAGTTAGATAACTAGTTGGAACTATGAAGTATTGGATAGATGTTTCACTCTGTTACCGGGCTCCTTAGAGGATGTACTTATCTATAGCCCTACCAAGGATCTAACCCGGGACCTTCAGGCCTAGAGTCGAATGTCTAGCCTTGAAGTCACTGGGTTGGTATCAGGTGGTTAAGGTTCAATTCTTGGTAGGTTCATGCGTGCGCTCTTCTGAGCAATTAAATACTAGGAAGAAATAGCTTTCAAATAATTCCTGGTTTTTATTGGTTATCTAACCTAGGTCAGTTCGTCATGTAAACTACAGAATTTCAAAATCTCTACAAATATCTTACACTAATCAATTGTTGTTAATTTTTATTTCAGATGAGTGCTAGTAATTTAGCTGTTTGTTTTGCACCATCCTTATATCGTTTAATTAAGCCATCATCTTTATCTACTCAAGGTGTAAGTCTTAGTCCAAGACGTTTAAGACGAACAACTAGTGGACCAGATCCCAAAGATTTAGCTGATCAACATGCTGCACAATTAAGTTTAAGTGCTATGATTACGTTGGCACCAAACTTATTTCAAGTGAGTAACAATGTGTGTATTTCTGTGCATGTATGCATGTGTTTGTTGTGTGTGATCTGTATTAATAATCGCTGAATATTTAAAGGAAACCGTTAGAATGCCTTGAAAGTAGGTACCATTTTGAAGTGGATAAAGTAGTGGAACCAGGGTTTGATACCTTCTGTGAGATATTTGTCGCTTTCCCAACACACTTGGATCCAGAGATCCGCTAAAGTAAGGAAATATTCTTCGCTTCTTAAGATCCTTATTTATGAAAAAACCTAAACAATGTGTAATGGTATAAATACAGTTCAGTGGTAACGTCTTACACTGTGAAGCTAAGTGAAACGGGATTGAGTTCACCAGAAACCAACATTTCCCTCAAGATTATGGGTAAACCTAGTTCATGAGTGCTAATTGATACGAAGCCTATATATATATATACAATAATTTTCTTCAGTTAAAATGACTCACACACTGGCAAACTCAGAAATGACTGTCGGTCAACAACACAAACAAGTACAAAAATAATCACTTCAACACATCTAGACAGACAAAACGTGTCAGTCAATAAGTGACCTCCTATACTGATCAGTTAAGAAAATAGTTCGTTTACAACTAATCAGTAAAATATTAGAAGACTAATTATACAATGAAAAAACTTGTTACTCATGAGTAATACAATTTCAATCCACAACTATTACGTTTGTTTTTATTATTTTTATTACCACTAATACCATATAGATCTCCTGCTCTTTATTAGATCATTCAACTCTTCTGACTAGTTTAACTCCGTTAGCACAAGATTTAGAGTCATTAATACCAAATGGTGATTGGCCTCAATGGATACAAAATTCATTAACTGATCTTATACGTGAATGTTCTTCATCAAAATCTAAAGGATGGAACACGATTAATCGTGATGTTATGAAGCATTACAATGCTGAGTAAGTTTAAGTAGTTTGGGAAGTATTATGTTCTTTTACTGTCTAGTATTCCCCAGCAAAAAAATAATTGAGAGCGAACAGTATGTATTCTGATATTAGAGATTATATATAATTTACATATGAACCTTTCAGTAACTTCTTGATTCGCAAATTAGAACCAACTGGTTAAAAAATGGACCAACCATTGCATTCTGATTTGAGTCTTCCAACAAATTCAGTATTCAAGACGATTCCGCTAACACAACGCATGTAGAGATGGCTGGACTTTGTGGTTTAATACGAAGGAATAGCCCTGGTTAGACAACTACTGGAAATTAGAAAGCATTGAACAACTGTTTCGTCCTGACCTTGAACTGTTTGGCTGAAGTGGGGATTCATTTACAACACTAGGAATCGAACTTCGGACTTTTCAGTCCTGTTTCGAGTTCATAACCTTCAGACAACTGATCTGACATCTAATAATTTATATCTCTTAACTTCAATCAATTTTTAGAGTTCTAATGGCAAGAAGAAACAATAAAAGAGTATATGAGATAGAAAATAAGTATTAGGATCGAGTGCAAATGAAATACACAGAGTTTAAACTTGAATCGAGTGTTTCCTAATCCTCTGCAGTGCGGAATTTAACATCGTCATTGAGCTAATTCCTTTAACCGTATGGATGACTTTGAAGAATAATTATTGTGGGGCAACGTGACTATAAAAATTGAACTATCGGTTGACATGCTTACCGTTTTGACAGTTAGGAAAATTATTGCATGGAGACGCGTTTTGAAGAGGCTTGGTTTATTGAACTGATATGACCGGTTTCAAGACAGCAAATAAACATGTATTTATTCATTAGTGTGACGCAAAGTGGAATCTCGCCCCTGGCACACCCATGAATCAAAGTTCACCTCATGAAAACGATACAAAGTTTAGCATTAAAGAGTGTTTTTGTCAATCGCTTTGAAATCTTTTTTAAAGATATCTATAAAGTTATTTCTCTTAAAATTAATCTCCTTGAAAAAAGTTTTCTAGAACCCTCCAAATACTATTTCATGTTTCTCGTTTTGTCATTAATTTCCTATTGAGGAACCCTTAGAGGATATTCATTGTTGGTAAGTATCTAATCTGGGTTTTTCCAGTTCAAATAACGACCACACAAAGTAATCCATTGATTAATCAAGTTCATAAATAAATATCACCATCCAGTTTTGTTATGACGAGATGAAAAGTCAAAATTAGATTGATTTACCCATTATGGTTTTCGTTCAACACTGATTTTCTGACGCATGTGGGTATCACCAACCACAAACGCAAACGCTTCCGGTTGAAGTCGCTGACTGAAGATCAGTTCAAAGCCCTCATTCTCATCTGCAGTCTCCAATCTCAAAAGTTCAGTGACATCAGAACACAGTCGTTTATTCGAATGGACCAAGACCGTAAACTGACTCTTAATAATATTGCGAATAAATATCAACGTCTAATTATTCTTCAGTGCGACACTATGATGGTTCCGATCGCCCTGAAGTACATGTAATCCAACAACCACCCAACCCGGCTGAATCCACCCCAACTATATCTAGTCCATCTCACTCGAATTCAGTTCAACAGGCGAAAAAAAATTGCTTCAAACATAGCAAATTGGTTAGTATTAAATATTTCAACATTGAATAACGCTTTATTTCTTCATTTCCTACAGTTTCTATCCCATTCTTTTTCCATATTTGTTGTCAATTAGTTCGGGTGCTAATGAATTATTGGATAATTTTGAAATTCATTACAAAAAAATACCAACTTCAATTGAATCGAAAATTACATCAAATTCATTACGTTTATGGCGTTGTTCATTGTATATACCTGAAACTAATCCACGTGTAATATTAAATCGATTTGTTGAAACTAGGTAAGTTTATTTCACTCATTTACTGATTGATCACTTCATTAATTAAACATCTAATTTGTAACTTTATTTAAGATTTTTTTAAAATCTTATTAATTCACTTACTGGGCACATATTCGTTTACTTTACTTCGATTTACACATGATTCACACTCACATTTTCTATTGTCCAAACTAAACCTGGGGCATAGTGATTATTAGACGAACTCTTTAACCACTCAGTTATAACCCTATGAAATAGCCAACAGATTAGTAGTTTCACAGGTTGAAATCATGAGTCGATTGAGGCTAGACCACCATGGAAAACCTGGAAACACTGGACGACCGTTTCGTCCTAGTATGGGACCCCTCAGCAGTGGGCATCCACGACCCCGCACATCGCGGGATTCGAACCCAGGACCCACTAGTCTCGCGCGCGAGCACTTAACCACTACACCACTGAGCCGGCACCCAGCGGTGTTAATGTATAACTTCAATCAATACACGAGTTGCGCCACCGTACACCATTGCCTTCAGTGAGCTGGTATCTCACAACAGTCCTGGGTTCGAATCTCGCGGTGTGCGGGGTCGTGGATGCGCATTGCTGAGGAGTCCCATACTAGGACGAAACGGTCATCCAGTGCTTCCAGGTTTTCCATGGTGGTTTAGCTTCAATTGACTCATGATTTCAACCAGTGAAATTTCTAAAAATCTCCACAAAACCCATTCAGATTAGTAGTTGACAATATTGAAATAAATAATGAAATGTTGATAATACTCGGCTGATGAGTCCTGAATGAGATGAAACACATATTCTGTATTGAATTATTATTAATCATTAATAAAAAAACAATAGTCAGCCTGTAGTTCCAAATAATACATACAGACAATTCTCTCAGGTTGCATATATAATCTAATAGAGATTGATCGATTCCATCTCCTAACATCAACAACAGGGAAATATAAATCCATACAAATATGATGATTACATGATTACATCATTACATATTTTTTTGTAATTTTCGGAAATTGTTTTTTGAAAGTTAGTTATCCATAGGTATATCAGCTGGAGCTTCAGAAATTTCTTCAATAATCCTCTTATTATGATATTAGTTCATGATGAGAACCTGAAACCACCCAAATATCATGCTAATAGACAAGTGTTATTGAGTTTTTTGCAAGATGACAATTATACTAAGTGACCTTATTTAAAACCTTATTGCCACTAGATAGTTGTAAAAGGAGTTGAAAGGATTGAGTAAATCTTTTTATGATCAATTTCCGAAACCCCTTCTGATAATGATCATCCTATGCTCACTAGTGACTGGCTTCAAAAGGTATTTCCTGGAGTTCTAGTGAGAAGCATTGACCAGTGGAGTTCAAATGGGTCTGTTGTGAGATAGTAACTCGCTGAAGATAATGGTGAATGTGTGGCCTAATTTCGTGGGTTATTTGAAGTTAGACATTTACACCACTGAATGCTGATTGACTCAGTGGTCTAGAGGTTAAGCGTTCGCGCGCGAGGCTGATAGGTCTTGGGTTGGAATCTCACGAGGCGGGGTTGTGGATGCGCACCTCTGAAGGGTCCCATAACTGGATGAAACAGCCTTTCAGTGATTCCAGGTTTCTTATTGTGACCTAGCTTCAACTGACTCATAATCTCAACTTTTAAAATTTCCGAAACATCATGTCTTATTTCTATCCTTTTGCACTTTCTCTCTACATATTTTTCTTCTTAAACCTAGATCATCATGGGATCCAGAAGTTGTACAAATGACAATAGTTGATCAAATATCTGATTGTGTTGACCTTTGCGAATTACATTTATCTTCAACTTATCCACAACCAAAATGTCTATTACAATTATTACGTGGTATACAATATACATTGGATGATGGAAGTTGTGCCATGTTAAGTGAATCAATATGTAATTCTGCATTTTCCAGTACAAACACTACTCATTCTTTAACAATATTATCAACAAGTCAGTCGATTAATGTTCTAGGTCATGTGTATGAAGATCATGTCTATATTCGTCCAGATAATAATGGTCGAGGTTGTCGTGTATACTTATTATCTCGAGTTGACGTAAAGTAAGTTGTCTTGTTATATATACATTAAGAAAAAAATGGAATTCTTAGATTTAATAAATCCATAAAACAACAGTTCTGACTCAACGATTCAGTTGAGTCATAACAACTCATATCAGACAGTCAGTTAATTAGTTATATCTAATGTAGAACCTGGCACATATATGCATCGATTCAAATTGCCCCATCATTTAGGCATAACAAGATGAAATTATCAAGACAGAGTATTGCAAGTTATTATCTGGGCAACGTTAATCGATATCATTTGCGAAATTCACCATTCAGAATTCCGATTATAATTTTTCTACTTCACTTTTCTAGCATCCTTAGCCTTAACCAATGATACATTCTGACCGATACAACTATTCGTGATCGGATATAAGCTTTGCTCCTATCGGTCAGTAGGTCAGTCAGTTACAACATAGGACCAGGCACATACATGCATTGGTCTAAGTTTCCACACCTCATTAGCACAGTGAGATGAACACCGGATTCGTAGAAACAATTAACTCAATGGTGTAATATATAAAGGAAAGATTTTATGTAAGGATATAGTACAGAAATCCTATTGGTTCAGTGATACGCATGCCATCTCCTATTCTCAACCTTGAGTTTGGAAGTGAAAACTCCAGCTAAGCTTCGATTATTATTTATTGTAAGCAAACTAGTAGAAATAATGACAATATTAGTGGTTATAGGAAAAAAATTGATGTCAACAAAATGGTTATTCAACAAGAACAAATGATATCATAGAATAAAACAAAACGCCAAGTTTTCTTTTCTTAGTAAGGAAAGGTAATACTCTGAGTTAATCGGATACAAGCCAAGCAAGAGATTTTGGTAGGCTCGTACTCTTGGTTTCCTTACTCGAGTATCCGGTTTTGGCATATATTTAGGAAGCTTATAACTAGAACAACCATTCAACATAATAAATAAATACCTAAGTCTGTCAAACCTAAAAGGTTATAATCTATTTCAAAGTTGAGTACCGCATTGAAATTATGGTTAAATAGAAAAATCATCCTCTAGATCCTTCAGAATAGCTTAGCTGAAGTCAATTAGTTACTAAACTGTTTAAGTTTTTTTCAGAACAGACACGTTAATAGTTATACAACTCATAATAAATAGTTCAATTTATAGGTCTGTATTTAAGTTGATTTAGAATTGATTGGGTAATGATCAATTTCATGTTTGTTTGCTGAGAGAATTCTATCGAACTAGTTGTAATGTAGCCACTAGTCTAAATAATTCAACTTTTTGTATACCATATTGAAATGTTAAATTATCAGGGGTAGTCGGTAAGAATCCCTGAAGATACATTTCATACTAGTTGGGACTCGTCAACAAAGCAAATCTCTGTAGTCTTGTGGGAGCTATTACTCCCTATGTGACTCGGGTCTTATTCACTCTCTTTCTAATTCTGATATATTACCACTGGATTATTCAAGCAACAACTGACACACATTCAAGGTGGTAAAAATCTACGACAACAACAATAGCTAGCACTTAGCATAGACTAAGTTAAGAATAACCAGTTCAATATTGGTTAGTCAGATAGCATTTACTTCAATCGATAAATTACAAGCAATAAAATAGTGCAGTTTGTTATAACTACTCATAAGCTTGGATTCACAAATCTCATATGGCAGATAAGAATCAAACTACAGCTGGTAATGTAAACCATACATGAAAACGCATGATGTACATTTATTCAGAAGTATTATCATAATTTATGTAACATAAATTGGACATTAAGTTTGGAAAATAAGTAGATCATTAATAACAGAATAAAGCATAAAAATGGGGTAGGTTACACAAGAGTTGAAAGAATATGCAATAAAAATTTGGACATAAACCATTGTAAACTGATATATTCAGTGATTAGCTTAGACTTATGGAGTATTATTAGTCCTCTATTTCATTCGTGTTCACAAAATTTGTTCATAATTATGCAAAGAACAACGTTTATTTCTGTCACCTTGCCTACTGGTACTATCATCAGTAGTATAAAATGTTTACAAAAATAAATGGGGTTTATATGGGATGTTCGCTGTAAATCATTCGATACATAGGTCAGAGCAAATAAAGTAGTCCATGAAACTAGAAAAGGTTTAACCATTACTGTTGATTTTTATCAGTATTATTGGCTTTTAAAACATAATTGTATTACTTATCACTTGATTCTCTCTTACAGAGGATATGGACCTGATTGGTATGTGAATCAATGGGGTCATACATTATGTCGACGATTAATCAATCTACGACGATCACTTCAAAAGTCGAAATCACCAATTTTAACTTATGAATTAGAAGATTCAATATCTAGACCTTCCCCACCACCATATTCAACTATAACTGTCAATAATTTAACAACAACAACTACTACTACTACTGCTATTACTACAAGTACACATATACCAATTTCATCATCAACTACAGATACATCATCAATATCAACTGATATATTAATTAATCGATTTTAAGTGTTATTTTTTTTGTTTATTTATGAAATGTAAACTAATCATCGAGTCATTTCAAATCCACAGGGAGATCTATTTAAATGAAACATAAAATAAAGCCTATTTGTATATACAATTTTCATGTATTTGTACTTATGAATGTGAAATTACACAAATATTTTGTTGTTGTTGTTGTTGTTGTTTTGTTCTTTATCAATATTTTCTTCTTTTATTCAGTTCATTTTTTAAAAAAAATAAATAACTTTGTTTATCCACCCAGATAACTTACATGTATTAGATACCTATGAAAGTTGTTTTAACATTTATATCTTACAAATTGAATACAATATAATAATATGTGTGTGTGTGCTTGTGTGCGTGAATGCGTGCTTGTGTGTGTGTGTGTGTAATTCCCAATTTTTTTCTTACCGATTTATTCATGTTTCTGTTTCCTATTTTACAATAGTAACAATATTCAAACTTTTAGTTTCTCTATACACATACACATGTGTACGCACACCCATACACGCACGCACAAATACACACACACATACATGGAGACATGGTAGTACTTGTTTTGTAACTATAATGTTTACATTTAATTCAATGAATTTCAATCTCTTCTTTAAGAGGTAATTAGAGTTGAAATCTAGCTCACCTCTATTATTATTATTATCATCATCATAACGGTGTATAAATGAAGATGATGAAAATCACAAGAGAACTATTTGAAATGATTATCCCAATTGTGTAACATACTGAAATGAATTCATATGTATATTTATATTTCTTATATATAACAGATTATGTTGTTCTGATTAGAAGATGCTATTCAAAGAAGAAAGTTTATCATATTGTACATAATATAACAAACAATATATAAAATAGAATTCATTTTCTCTCTTTTGAATATATATACTCTTTCCATTAATCTATCTATCTATCTATCTATCTATTTATTTATCTAATTACTTTCTTTTCTTTTTTCTTTGGCTTTCTGTTATTGTGCACCTCCTTTGGTATTATTGATTTTATCGACTTCTTGATTGTATATTGACATAATGTTGAGTTTTATTACGTAATAGATTATTTTTTAAACCTGATATTACACTTTCTCTAATGATAGTTTTTATTTTAATAATCATAGTTAATTTGTATTTATAATGTAGGGGGGGATTGTTTCTTGGTCCTTGAATGTATAAATCATATAGATAAGTATTAATAGCCTCTCGTTTTCTCATGGGTGTGCGTGTGTGTGCTTTTTTTGTTTCCTTATTAATAGAGAAATACACTCAACTCAGTCCAGTTAATTTGCCTATTTTTTTTATTAATTCCAATCAAGTGTCACTATCATCAGTTTTTTATTATTTTTGTTTCTTTCAATTCGTCTACAATCTCATCGTTTTGAAGATTATGTCTTTCTATCTTATTGTTGCTAATATTATTTGTTTACTATATATATATATATATATATAAACATTTTTTTCGTTTCACGTTTTCTTTCTTTGTTATTTCGTTTGGTCAGTTTTTTGACGAAAGTTTAACAAGTGAAGTGGAGCAGAGACCACCGACCAGCATTCTCTAACCCACTCTGTCATGGACATTCCTTTACAGTTCTATTCAATTGTTATTCATTCTTCTCATATCTGTCTCCATTTCTCGACGTAATGTGTTCTTCGGTCTTCCTCTCCGCCTTCGGCCTTGAGGATTCCAAGTGAGGGCTTGACTTGTGACACAGGTGGGTGCTTTCCTCAATGTGTGTCCTATCCACAACCAACACTTCTTCCTGATTTCTTCCTACACTGGAATCCGATCTGTTCTCTCACACAGTAGGTTGTTGCTGATAGTGTAGTGTCCGGTCAACGGATCCGAAAGATTTTGCGTAGGCAACTGTTAATGAACACTTATATCTTCTGGATGATGACATTCGTACTTCTCCAGGTTTCCACGTCGAAAAGTGGAACTGTCTTGACATTTGTATTGGAAATTCTGATATTGGTGTTGGTGCACAGACAGTTGTTTTGAATTGCAGATGTTTTTCAGTTGTAGATATGTTGTTCTTGCTTTGCCGATCGGCGCCTTCACATCTGCATCAGATCCACCGTGTTCATCAATGATGCTGCCCATATATGTAAATGTTTTTACACCTTCCAAATCTTCTCCGTAAAGTGTGATTCGATTGTTGTATGTTGTTTTGTTCGGAGAATCTTGCTTTTCCTTATGTGTATGTTCAGACTTATTAGTGCTAAGACTGCTGCTACACTGGTCGTCTTCTCCTGCATTTGTTGTTGCGTGTGCGATAGAAGAGCCAGATCATATCTGAATTCTAGATCGACCAGCTGGATCCTACCTGTCCACTGTATCCCATGCTTCCCCTCAGATGTTGTTGTCTTCATGATCCAGTCCATCACCATGAGAAATAGAAAGGGTGAGAATAAGCAACCTTGCTTGACACCGGTCTTTACTTTGAACGAGTCTGTCAGTTTTCCTATTTCATTCATCAGTTATTTATTAATACTCGATCATCTCATACTTGGTACAGTTGAACTCTACTCCTCACTAGAACTTTGGTGATTACCTCTTGAAATTAATTTAATTATATCAGGCGTGAGGCAGTTAGTTACCTATCAAAGACAATAAATTACGATTTGGCAATATCACGAATTAATTGAAGTTTGACAAGTAAGTCATTGGATATTGACTGATTAGTTTAAAGGTTAATCGTTTGCCTCTAGACTATGAGGTCTTGAGTCTGACCCTTGATGGAATCTTGGATACACAGCTAAGAAGTCTCATACTATCTAGAAATATCTGTACAGTGCTTTATGATCTTCAATGACTGTCTGACTAAGGCCAGTTCGTGATTTCAGTGATACTCCATAATTGACTAATTTGTCTATATTATTATTACTACTATCATAATTATAAACTGAATGGGACCTTAGACGAAGTGAAAGATTCTAACCATACTATATGAATAAACATACATTATGTCTATACTTATGCAAGTCTGCTTTTTCCGTTACAGTATATCTGCATATAAGTATACGTATGTGCACTGAATGGTGTAATTTGGAATTCGGTAAACCTTCAAAAAACTATTGTACCATATAACCGTAAGCATTAATACACTGAGAGATGAGATATCAAAAACATATTTTTTAATTTGAAACAGCTTACGATCATTTTGAATTGTGTACAGTCGGAAGATGTTTCCTAATATGAGCTGGATCTATGCATCCTAGAAAGCTCAACGAGTATTCTTGACAACACTTCAATATTTATCTTTTATACAAGTGAAAATAAAAGCAATGAATCCAGGAAGAGCATGACATTTCAAGGACTCAGAGTTGTAGTATAACAACTTGATCTACATAGTGACAGCTATAGCTTTAGAGCATATAACAAAAGCAGCAAAATGAAAGGATGACTAATCAGTTAGATAATAGAAAGGACCAGTGAGGTCATATAAGTTGAAGAAAATTCGCCGAGGTCTTTTATTCTCATCAGAACTATAATTTAATATCGTTTAGGACTTCAGGGTGATTGAATGCCGTCGTTCAAATTGAAATATGGTTACTAATCCTAGTGATTTTACATTACACTGTATTTTGTTTTGTGACAGATTGTGGTTTCAAATATTTAACACAACGTCCTACTGAAAAGATTCCATACACTTTGAGTACTTGTAATTCTGAATGGAATGATCCGCTACTTTATACTCTACACAATTTCATCAGTTAAAAATGTTACAGTTCAGTTACTCGGTTTACAGCTAAGTGCTTCATCGTGGATTTCAAATCGTTCCACTATGTGTACCATAGTTAGAACAGTAGATAATACAACAACTGTCGTTACTCTCCGGTGATCTTACAAGCATTAGCTGGTAACAGCTCTGTATTCTACAGGTATCAGTTTAGGATCTATTCGCCTAACAAACTCATCTTATTTTAAAAAACAAAACAAAATCCAAATTATGTTAAGCTTTTTAGTTCTAGTTTTCAATCATCAAAGAAGCTAACACCATTAATTTATTTCTATATTTCCGACCATGTTGATTGTGAGATAGAAATAGTTCACAGCATTAGATGACCGTTATGCAGTATTATCATTTGACTGGAATTAATATCATAAACAAGTGAATTTTAATTTGATATCTGAATAGTGTCACATTTATCTCAACAATTGACAGTCCTGAAGCTGTAATTGGAAATATCTGAATAGTTATGTAATAATATAAAACAGGAAACTGTTCAATGTTTCCTAAGTTCTCAATGCTTCTCCTACTGATGTCAACTTATGATTTTTTTGTAACAAATTATAGTTACTTTGATATCATATTGTGATCAGTAATGAAATCTCCGATGATGGGGAGTTCCATACTAGGACAAAACGGACGTCCAGTGCTTCGAGGTTTTTCATGGTAGTCTAGCTTTAATTGACACATGAATTCAACTATTGAATTAGTTTAATTTTTATTCTGGTCTCCATACCAGTGCTCATTGATGATCGCATCAAGTTCTTTCGGTCACTCAAAGATCAATATACCGAAACATTTAGTTTAAGGAATTCGGTAGAGATCGGTTTTACTTGAAAGATGTATTAATCATAGATTTATCTCATTTGAGGTATCATGTCATGTGTGAAACGGTTTTCACTGATAGCATCACCACACAAGTCGACTGAAGCTGATATTGTAACATTGAACAGTGAGCCAATGATCTTAATGGTTATAGGTTGGCCTCGAAATCTGAAGGTCTAGAAATGCATACCGTTGAGATATCCAATATTCGGACAAACTAATCTTTTAAATTTAATGATACCTCATTGTGATCAGTTTTTAACGAATACAACTTACCTAGTGAGTTCATTATTCAGTTCAATAGTCAAATATTTAGAAAACTAAAAAAACTAACTTGACTGATAAAAATCCAATCAACGATTTGTAATTAAATACCATGATTTATTGAGATCATGAGCCGATTGATGTTACATCACCATTGAAAACCTGGAAGCACTGGACGACCGTTTCGTCCAGTGCTCAGTAGTGTGCATCCACGGTCCCGCCCTCGGGATTGATTGAGATTATACATGAACACTCTTGAATGTCGATCGGCTCAGTGGTCTAGAGGTTAAGGGTTCGCGCGCAAGACCAAAGGCCCCGGGTTCGAATCTCGTGAGGCTGGATCGTAGGTGCACACTGCTGAGGAGTCCCAAAATAGGACAAAACAGTCGTCCGGTGCTTCCAAGTTTTCAATAATCGTCTAACATTAATCGGTTTATTATCTCAGTTAAAAACTTAATAATCTCCATAACCCTATACTGATAATTACCATAATTTTAGTTACTATATAGACAATTAAAAATTTCACTTAATTATTACCTAATTATATTTAGAAAATAGCACATCATTAAAAGCAGATACTTGTTTTACCATTATCAATCATACAGTTGTCAATTTTAATTGGTACTAAGATTTGAACAACGAATATATATAAATATATATGTGGGGGGGGGAGTATATAGAGAGGGGGGACAGTGAGAGATCTAAAGCTACATATTTATAATAATTACCTTTTTTTAATTAGTCTCTTTAAGTCACGTGTGCTTTATGGTTTCTAAGATTTCACTTGATTCATTTTATCATAATAATTTTAAAGATGTGAAATTTTGGAAAAATTTTCTTGATAGAAAATTAAGAAAAAAATGTAAATAAATCAATATATGTATGTAACCTCAGAAACAATATGCATATGAAATATGAAAATTAAACTGGGAAATAAACACTTTTCGTTTGAATTTTTTTGTTGTTGAATGAACTCATTTCATGTGATGTATATGCAATTGTATCTAGGAGTGTGTGACATTCAATTTAAATATATAGATGAATTGTAGTTTCTATGATCTAATATGATTTCATTGGGATATAGTTGTCACTATGATTGTTATGATCAATAATTGACAGTTTTATAACATACATCTTGGAATAAAATTTGGTAAAAGTTTGTAATTTCCCATTGTTGATAATCATGACTACAATAGATTAGTCTATGTTGTTATATGCCCCTTGTGAACGTATTGTTTCGATATAGTGTTATGTCACAAGTTTTAGTATATTTATCATTTGGTTTATATTGGAATTTATAACTAGTATTTCGTCCTATTTCGGACTCTTTAGTTGGATGTACCTGGACCCTTATGTTAATATTCACACTGGCTACCAATTAGTAAGTTAGTGACTATCTGTTATAACGGTTGGGTTTCCACTTTTACACGTATGGGACGTTAGTTTACCTTAGATGAATATCTACACTAGATTCCATCCTAGTGTCTATTCTACAGGATGTCAACACAACTCAGATCGAGAACACGTGATTAGCCTGACCATAACGTAAATATATTTCCACACCAAAAAACCGACAACAATCCAACAACAATAAACAATCAATAATAATATGAT